AGCCATCAGACAGTTCTGTCACTAGTGGGCTACATGCCCCAAAGGACAAGTTCCTTGATGACTGAAGCTATCTCACACTCATCAGTGTGTTCCCACTGCCTGGGGCTCCCAAAGTATTTACTCAGTGACTTACTATCAAAGATGTCTAAGCTAACGCAAATGACCCTATAACAACTTTAGCAAAGATGTCACAGTAGCTCGAACTGTTACCTAAACATAAAATTAAAACACTGGGAGTTTTATATTACATCCTCACATCTAGAACACTGCAAAGCTCTCACATCATGGTAAGATTAGGAAGAGCAGTCAAGTACCAGAAGGAACACGGTGCCCAGCACAGAGCTCTGCGTCTAACAGGTGCTCAGTAAATGCTGGCTGAGTAAGCACATGTGTCTCATAACCTCAAGAACACCAAAAACTGGGTGTTTGATGCTCTTTGGCTCTTCAGTGGTTTTTTCCCCCTGAGAAAAAAGCCAAAAAGCCCAGAGTCGCTGTCCATGTAGATCTGTGTTCCAGCAAAGCCTTTATTTAACCCAGCCAAGATGAAACTCAGCTTCTTCCCCTCTACCTGCCACTGTCCAAGGTAACCTCCCAGTTCAGGCCCCCGATGTTAGTCTCCCAGGAGCGCATGATCCGGCCTCCATTGGACACAGTGATTGCATCTGAAAGAGAAAACACCACACGAGGTCATCTTTCAAACTGATGCTCCGTGTGAAGCCTCCTAGGGCCTGTGAGCAGTGGCCTCACCTCTGATGTACGAGAGCAAATGGAAACTATTTGCACTGTCTTGTCCTGTTGGGAATACCCCTACCCCACTGCCTACCACACCCCTTACAAAGAAAGGACCCAAAGGATGAGGAGAGGGAGCTGACGCCATGGCAGAGACGAAGCAGAACCCAACGTACCCTGTCCGTAGAGCAGCATGGCATCCACAGCCCCTTCCGCCGTGCCCTTGTCCACATGGCGCCACACTGGGAGACAGGAGAGTCAGATGTTACTATGGATCTGAGCGAGGCATCCAAGAAGTCAGGTAGGAGAGAATCAAACAGGGCTTCATTTGCACAGAAGTGTCTGATTTTACTTTGAGGCAGGGAACGGTCAGAGCCAGCTGGCAGTGATCCACTTACTCACACTGTATAAGGAGGGGAGGAGGGGTTGAGGGCAGCCACCACTGTCCCAATCTCAGGTCTCTGCACCTCCCATCCCCACGACCACCCCAACAAACATGTAAATGGACAATGACAAAATTAACAAAATTCATATGATTCACAAGAAAAGTAGTGACTGTAAATTATACTTCCTTGATTTTAGTGCCTAAAAACATTCATAAAAGCAGTATAAGTAATGTAAAGGAGTTGAGCAGATCCAAAACTTCAGTGCAAAACAGAGTAATGTGTTTTTTGCAGCAATATCTTATTTAAGAACACTCAAAACTCAGGCTGAAAAAATAAACCCAAAGGCTAGTTATAGGAATATATTAAATATTCAAAGATGACAAGACTGAAAAACACAAATGATCAGAATTTTGGCCCATCTGTCCCTAACCTGGGAATCAGCCAGGCTGACTTAACAAGCCACAGGTCATCCTGGATTCAGTATGGGCAGCCTTGTCATCCCAAGCTAACCAGTCTACCCAGTTCACTTACAGATCTCCCCGGTCCGAGAATTCAATGCTGCAATCACATTTTTCTCTGTGGCCACAACTAACTTCTTGGATCCTGGGGAAAATTCCAAGGAGGCAAACTTGAGCTTCCCAACATACTGCTGTCTCCTGAAAAAAAAAAAAAAGAGTACAGGGAAATGTAAGGGGCCAAAACCATCCCTGCACAAAATGTTTTGGAAAAAGACAATTGCACATGAGGTTATCACCATCGTGTGGGTATCAGAAATGTTTGCTGATGAAGAGATCTGACCAAAAGCAATATTTCTATGCAATGTCGTCAGAAGCAAAGGAAGAAGAAGAGAGAATACACCCTGATAGATGAAATACAAGTCTCCCTTCTAAATGCAAGCACGTATTTATCTCAGGGAACACCCAGAGGAGTACCTGGCTTAAATCCTACTAGAACAAAATTGTAGTCCTCTCCGTATCCATTAATAGTGGGACCAGACACTCATACTACACATGGGATAAGAGACACAAACCCTGTTGTCGATGAACACACAATCCAATGTTTCCTTCTATTTTCACCTATCTTTGAAGAAAAATTATGCAAATATTCTTATAAAACCAACTCAACAGGGTCAGGCCTTTGTTCTCCACAGCCTAGTATTCTAGCCCATACTATGTTCAGGATCCATTTAACTCATTAATCACTTTCCTCGGAATACACCCCATCACTTTCAACACTCTTATTTGGGCATAAATGGAATACAGTTAGCTTCCCGTGGTACACTACCAAGTACACAGAAGGTCTTCACACATTGCTGTTAAAGAACTGCGATCTCTAGCAAATTAAACACGTGGCACTTACTCTCATTGCTCTTGTTACAATGTTGTTTGGTCTAATTTTTTTAAGAAGAAGAAACTATACAGTATAGAGAGACAGATTTATATGACATTTGCCAGTTCCCATCTGTACTTTCATATTTCAGTGTACTCACTGAACACTTAATGAAGTACACAGGACAAATATTATTACTCTCATTCTACCCAAAGTCCATTAAAGTCAACTAATTACTATCAGGACTAGAATGCAAAACTAAGACCTTCTTAGTCTAAATCCCATGCAACTGCGAGGAGGGTCAGTACCCCCAACTCCTGCATTGTTTAAGAATCAGCTGTACGTATGATATTGTTAGCATCTGCCCTCCTCATTAAAAATGTGACATGTTGCATTCGTCACACCGTCTTTGTATCACATACTTATATAATGGCCCCCCTAGACTGAGCTCCTTTCCATCTCTGTATCCACAGCACCTAGAATGACCACTGATCTACAATAGGCACTCACAAACATGTGAATCAATTGATCTGAAACAGAAAAGACTTCACAGAAGAGCTGGGCTCTGAAAGCTAAAGTGCTCCCTGAGTAATAATTGCTAACATACTGATGGCACTCAGTGAGCCAGCCCTTGTGCTAAGTAATTCAAAGGAATTATTTTTTTCATCCTTACAAATACTGTAGGAGGTAATGGTCTATTGTAAACCCATTTTACAGATACAGAAACAGAGGCATGGAGTGGCTAAGTCATCTAGACTATAAAAGTAATGCCTACTTATTGTAGAAAACAAGAAAAATACATAAAGGCATAAAAAAGGAAACAGAAAGTGCCTAAAATACCACCACCACAAATTTTTAACATTTTGGTGTACTTCCTTCTGTTTATATTTCAATTTATAAATTGCATGTAGCTAATATTCTGCTAAGTTGGAATCATACCATCTATGCTGTACATGAGTAATGAATACAGTCAACCCTTGTACATCATGGATCTAAACTGTGCAGGTCCACTTTTACACTGGCTGTTTTCTACAGTAAATGATACAGGAAGACACAATCCGCGTTGGTTGACTCTGAGGAGGTAAAACCGCAGATTCAGAGGGCTGCCTATAAGTTATATTTGATTTTCAACTGCAGGGAGGGTCAGTACCCCCAACTCCTGTGTTGTTCAAGAGTCAACTGTATAGATGATATTGTGAGCATTTGCTCTCATCATTAAAAATGTGACATGTTGCATTTGTCACTGTCTTATATCACATACTTACATATTGGTCTCCCTAGACTGAGCTCCTTCCCATCTCTGTATCCACAGCACCTAGAACGACCGCTGTCCACAACAGGCACTCACTAATATGTGAATCAATTTATCTGATTCAGAAAAGACTTCATAGAAGAGCAGGGATCTGAAGACTAAAGTGTTCCCTGAGTAATAATTGGTAACATACTGATGGCACTCAGTGAGCCAGCCCTTGCGCTAAGTAATTTAAAGGAATTATCTTATTCATCATTACAAGTACTGTAGGAGGTAATAGTCTATTAGTAAACCCATTTTACAGATAAAGAAACGGAGGCATGGAGTGGCTAAGTCATTTTCCCAAGATCGCACACCCCTTAAGTGGTAAATTGACATTCAAACAGAGGCCAGCCAACTCCATGGCCTTAAGGAAGGGGTGAGTGGATGGGTGGGTGGGCTGGGGGGATGAGTGAGTGACTGACTGAGTGAACCAATGAAAGTGAGTGAGTCAGTGAGTCAGTGAGTAAGCGAATGTATGAATAGCACCTCCTAGCTATATGAGTCTTGGGCAGCCCAGTTCTGAGCCCAAGGCAGAGTTGGGCTGTAAGGAAGGGGAAAGAGGACTCGGTTTAGCACTTTTAAAACTCAAGTCCCTGTTTTCATGCCCAAGAGACACCAATTCGAGGAGGAATCAGATTTCACTGAAGGCTGTAGAAATCTGACACCCACTAGATCAGAAACCCGACTGTCATAGAAATGGGGCCTGATGGGAGAGAAAAGTGACCAAGCATGCCTGGATGGCAGAGCCTGCTTCACGGGCTTGCGACCTGTACAGTCGCACAGGGACTGGCTCAGAAGGGCCCCCAACTCTCTGTTTAACGCTCTACCATCGCCACCTTAAAACACTTAGTTGTTGAACAAGGGGTCCTACATTTCATTTTGCAGTGGGCCCTGGAAGTTATGTAGCCGGCCCTGCTGCATGGTAATCCACGCCTCCTTTTAGATAGAAGGCAGGTACTGAGAAAATATTTCAGGAATAGAGCCCCTCGTACGCACCAATCAAACTTGCCCACTTGGTCTTCGTAGACCGCGGCCGCAGGGATAAGCAGGGCAGCCCAGAGCCAGAATCGGGATGCCGCCGCCGCCATGATGGGAGCCCTGGCCCCGCCCACCGCCGGCCCGGCATGCACCGGGCCGCAGGCTCCGCCTCCGCGGAACCATAGAGTTGGGACCGGGCGCGGAGCCCTCGATTGGCCGCTCAGAACTCGGAGTCCCCAGCCCTCGCGGGAAGTCGCCCCGGAGACGAGGGGAAGAGCGCAGACGGCGGCCGGGCCGGGAGAGGCGGGCCGCAGAGCCGATTGGGTGAGGCACGCGCGAGGGCAGCCCCCGAGGGCCGTCCCAGAGGCCCCCGCGCTGCTGGGGTCCTAATAGGCAACACCGCCTTCCACCGCACGTGTCTGCAGCGAGATGCCCAAATCCAAGCGCGACAAGAAAGGTGGGCGAAAGGGGCGTTTGGACCCGGGTTGGGGGAGTTCGTCGGCTGTCCGTCAGCTGTTGTTGAGGGTTCGGGGGTGCTGAGTAAGACGCCAGGACCTCCGCGGGCTCGCTGCGCTGTGAGCTGGGATAGACGGGGGCTTGGGGGCGGCAGGAGCACCGGAAGCACCGGAGGAGGCTGGAGCCTGGTGGAGTCAAGGAGCGGAGACTGTTTTGGCCGGCCTGGAGAGCTTTTCCAAGGCCGACTGACCGGGGAACAGCCTCTGAACACCCAGGCTGTGCCCTGTCTCGCCGTGGCCCACCTTTCCTACCTCAGCCGGTCTCTTAGGTCTTCGCGCTCCCGCCACCCTAGCCGCCTTTCCTTCAGCACAAGCTTATTCCCGAGTCTCGTCCTGTGTACTTGAAGTTGCTTCTGCCTGGCGTGCTTGTGCTCCGGTTTTCGTATGGCTGGCTCTTTTCTTGGTTGGCAGTTCGTAGGCATCTCCTGACTACCGTGGTGCGTCTCTCACCCTAGCTTTTTAGTTTATTCGCTGAACGAATATTTAGGGGTCTGGCACTCTCCAGGGGTTGGAGGACACGATAGTTACAACAAGGAAGGCGTGGAGCTGTCATCGAGCTTAACATTTTAATCGTCAGAAGTGTATTCTCCCCTGCAATACCAAAAATCGAATAAATAAAGTCAGATAGTAATGAGTCCCCTGGAGTAAAAGTGAAAGAGATGGTGGTATCCTTTTGTATAGTGAGGACAGAGAAGGCCTCTCTGATGAGGAGGCAAATGAGCAGAAACCTGGAGTTACCTGGGAGAGTGGTGTTCTGAAAAGAGGGAGCACCAAAAAGTACATAGGGCCTGGAACGGGAGCATATTTAACGTATTTTGGGATAAGAGGTCAGTGTAGCTGAACAGAGCAAGCAAAAAGCAGAGTGGGAATTGGGCAGGGTGTGCAGGGCTTGAAAGGTTTTTGCAAGGAATTACCTTTCGAAAACCCAGGTGAGCAGAGGGATTGATGGGGTTCAACTTTACTTTTAAAAGATCTCCTTAGTTGCCTTGCTGGGAATAGAGTGGAGAAGGCGGGGTCAGTGGGCAGGTGCAGAAGCAGCCAGACCAGCAATAATCCAAGAGAGCAAGGTGCTGGCTTGGCCCGGTGCTGCACTTGCCCCAACTGGTGTGACTACCTTTCTACATGTGTGCTTCGTGAAGAGGGACTGTGAGTGCAAGAGGTGGCCCCCTCCTAGGACCCAGGGCTTTGCATTTGCTGTTCTCTTAAGTGTTTGTGGAATAATCGGGTGCTGTGGAGAGAGCCCTGGTCAAATCTGGCAAATGCCAAACCTTCTGAGTCAGGGGCAGATTGGGCCCCAGCTGTTAGAGATGCTTGTCCCTCCCCAAAGAGGCATTGTTGCATCCATGGGTCCAAACTGCAAGACAAGATGTGGCAAAGGAGCTACTGTCCCCAGACTCGTCCTTCCACAGCACAGACCAGCCAGAGATGATCTCTATGCACCATGGCTAGCAGGCAAGGTCTGCCACTGAAAGCAGAGGCAGACCAGCCCTGCCCCCAAACCTCAGGAGGGATTTTTAGGTTAGCCTCAGAGGGGCTAAGGAACACCTGGTTTGTCTAAGTAACAGGAAAGATCAAGTGATCTTCAGGCTCCGGAACACTGGAGAGTAGGTTCTCTGGGGACCCTGGGAGTAGCCTTGTGTACCAGAAGTAGTGGCTGCGAAAGCCTTGCCGCCTTTCCTCAGACTGGCTTGGTCCAGCTGGGCTGCTAAAGGGGAGAAGAAAACGAGTCTCCAGGGCGTCCCCATTTGTCTCACCATCCCCTTTTTCTTCTCTGTATTAGTCTCCCTAACCAAAACTGCCAAGAAAGGCTTGGAACTGAAACAGAACTTGATAGAAGAGGTAAGAGCTTGTTCTTTCTATTTTTCCAGAACTTGTGTTTGGTTTACAAAGGTGGGTGTAGGGCTGCTTGTCAGGGAAACATGCTGCTTTAAGAAAGAAACCAAGCTGCTGATCCAGCCCTTCTTCCTCCAGCAGCAGCATCAGTGAAAGCTCCCGTAGTGATGCTTTGCAGCCTTGATTGAGCTCTTGCTCTGCCCTGCAGTGCTGTTTCATACATGCCTTTCCACTCCTTCCTCACAACATCCCTGGGAGGGAGATGCGACGTGACTGTGGCAGTTGGGTAACTGAAGTTTACAGAGATGGGTTAACCTGCCCCACGTCAGAAAGCCAGGGAGTCACCAAATGTGGGTATATGCACCAGCCCTCTGACTGCACTGCCTCAGGGCTGCGGGCTGGGTGAGAGCAGAGTCTACTGCTCAGAGATGCTGCTTCCAGCTCATCGTGGCTGCAGCCAGCAACGTGGGCACCACAGAGCCAAGAAGCTGTGTCCTCTTATGAGTAAACAGTAAGGTTTTCTATGTTTTCATGTAGCAAGAGCCATCCTAGTATAGCTAAATTTCTAGGTTGTCAAGAGCTACCAGACAAAGCAAAGAAAAGTGGCCGGTTCCACTGTTGGCCGCAGTAAGTCGGAAGCCTGCGAGGACGGTGGGTTGCTGGCCTGGGCTCAGCTTTCCCTGCTTGGTGTCAGGGCAGCCCTTGTACTGAGTATCCTGGCTTCAGTAGTGGAAGTGTGAGGCCTCAGGCTCTTAACTTCCATGGTTGTAAGAGATCGAGAGCAGACTCTTCCTGACTGAGGCCAGAGTCTTGCCCAATCCCTGCTGCCCCTTGGACTCCAGAGCCCCATGAATTGTCCCGCAGCTTCGGAAATGTGTGGACATGTACAAGTACCTCTTCATCTTCTCCGTGGCCAACATGAGGAACAGCAAGCTGAAAGAAATCCGCAGCGCCTGGAAGCACAGCCGGTGAGCGAGCTGCGGAGGGGGGGCTGCCCTCGCACCGAAGGGGCCGGACTGCTCTCAAAGCACAGGGGCAGCTAACGGCCTTGGGTACCAGGGTCACAGATGGCGCCTTAATAAGAACAAAATGCCACACTCCCAGCTTCGGGTGCTTTTTAACTATTAAAGCTGGTCTTGCACTGAGCTCCTCCAGAGGAGGGACTTGGGTGTTGCTCAGGGATTCCTCCAGGAGAAGGAACTCTGTTAACCCTGGGGTGTGGTCCCTTAAGGAACATTTCACCTGCTCTGGTTCATACCATTAAATGGGCCTCTTCCACACATCCTGATGGGGGTGTGGGCGGGGGGGCATGATCACCTAACACTCAGAGTGGCTGAGACAAAATACAGTGAATGTCAGAGAATGTGCAGGAAGATAATGAAAGGGACACTGGGCCGGGGACAGAGTGGGCAGGGCTGCGTGGAAAAGTGGGAGCCTCCGGCCACACCTCCTGCTACAAAATGGCCTAGGCCTAGGTTCGTGCTCTGGAGACTGGAGCTGCTTTGCCCTTAACTAAGGGGAGGACAGGGCAAGGCACTTCCTTCATGGATCTTTCTTTTTCTCTGTAGGATGTTCTTTGGCAAAAACAAAGTGATGATGGTGGCCTTGGGTCGAAGCCCATCTGACGAGTACAAAGACAATCTGCATCAGGTGAGTCTCCAGGCCACCCTGGGAGGGGCCGAGGCCAGGCTGCCTTCTGCTGCTCTCACGTCACGTACTCTGGCCGTCAGGCTGGCCCGGGGTCCGAGAGAGCAAGGCCTGGCGTAAAGCTCTGTTCTGCTTTAACCTCCAGGCCCAGAGAGTAGTGCCGCCACCTCCAGCTGTGACAACAATGTCTCCAGATGTTGCCAGATGTGGGGGGTGGGGCTGCAGCGTTGTCCCCAGTGGAGAACCACTGCTCTAATGAGACTGAACCGACCTCACTGTGGTTTTGTAGGTCAGCAAGAAGTTGAGGGGTGAAGTTGGTCTCCTTTTCACCAATCGCACTAAGGAGGAAGTAAATGAGTAAGTGTTTGGGGGAGTGGTGGGAAGGGAAAGGTTGGGGAGGTCTCCAGGGAAGGAAAAATCCCAGGCTTTGTACATCAGCTAAGAACTGGTGCCTGGAACCCTGTTACTGAGTCTTTAATCTCTCCAGCGCTTCACTTCTCTCCAGGCTGAGCTGAGAAGTATGGGGGTCGGGGGGCGAGGCCCAGGGCAGAGCCTGACTCCAGGCGCGTGGGCGGGCCCCTCACAAACCACCCCTCCTGCCACTTCCCTTTCCCCCAAGGTGGTTCACAAAATACACGGAAATGGACTACGCTCGAGCGGGGAACAAAGCAACTTTCACCGTGAGCCTGGACCCAGGGCCCCTGGAGCAGTTCCCCCACTCCATGGAGCCACAGCTGAGGCAGCTGGGCCTGCCCACTGCCCTCAAGAAAGGTACGGGGACGGACGCTCCTAGAGCTGAAAGGTCACAGCTTAGCAGCCAAGGTTGCAGGCTTCCAAGCCTGCCGTTGCCCCCTACCTCCCCTTTCTGGCTGAGCAGGTTATTACTACCAGCCTCCGTTTTCTCATGTGAGAGTGGGGCTGAGCGCCCCCCTCAGAGCTGGGGTGAAAGCAGACAGTAACTTACAGCCAGAATACGGCGGTTAAGGGACTATGTAGGAGTCACTGTCCCCTGCCCTGAAACTCTCCCAGGCAGCTGAGCACTTGCTGATTAACCCCTGCCCTCCTCTGCAGGTGTGGTGACCTTGCTGTCCGACTATGAGGTGTGCAGGGAGGGTGATGTGCTGACCCCGGAGCAGGCCCGCGTTCTGGTGAGTGTGACCCCTTCCAGCCATCTCCAGGCCGAGGCAGGAGGGGCTGCAGACACTTCTGACCACACTTGTTCCTCCTGACCTTTGATTTCCTTTGTCTCTTGCAGAAGCTTTTCGGGTATGAAATGGCCGAATTCAAGGTGACCATCAAATACATGTGGGATGCGCAGTCCGGAAGGTTCCAGCAGATGGGCGATGACTTGCCAGAGAGCGCGCCTGAGTCGGAAGACGAATCAGAGGAAGACGATGACAGCTGATGGGCCCTTGGGACTGAGGGCCTGTTCAGGTCTACTCTTGGCTGGACCACATGGGACTGCCGCCGCCCCCTGTAGGAGCAGCTGTTTATTTGGCTGTGGGTGAAGATGAGAGAGGCGACAGGGACAGACTGTTTCTCTGTAAATAATAAAACTTTGTCAGCAGGGTGTCTCCCTGCAAAAGAGACTTTTCTTAAAAAGCCTTTGGGTTTGGACTTTTGTTTGGATTCCCAAGGTTCCCTTTGTTCACCTTGAGCCAGCTTCCACCCTGGCTCCTGTGTGAGCACCGGGGCCACATAGCTCTGGGGACATGAGAGGAACCACCAGGGCCAGGGCTTCTCCCTTCCTCTGGCCCTCGTGCTCCTGGCTGGAAACTGGGATTTGCTAAGACAAGAGTAAAGCCACTGCTGAAACGCAGTGAATGTTAAAATGTCCCACAGCATCCTGAGAGGTTTTATTCTGCTGGATGGTGACTCTAGCGGTAGGTTTTTGCCCAAATAATTCCATTTCAAAGTGTTGAATGAGGTGATTCTTAGTGAGAGGCGATCTACCTCTGAGTGTGAGCCCTCTTGTCTCTCGTGGTGGGAAGAAGCGTGAGGGCCACCTCCAGCCCCGCTGCTGAGGGGTCAGCCTGGATTCAGGGCAGGAGGCTGGGAAGACCATCCCACTGCCCCTGCCCTTTGAAGGTTAACCCCTACTCCTGCCTGCTTCTCACCAAGCCCACGGGAAGGACAGGACACAGGCCGCAGGCTACAGAGGAAACATTCACCAGGTTTGCTGTGAGCCTGGGCTTCAGCCAGGTCAAGGGGCTCTATTCATACAGGAAATGCCCGAGTAGACAGCAGCCCCATCACATGACGGAGGCCACTGGGAATATTAACAACAGAGAAAATAAACGATCTGTGAACAGGGACTGTGAGAAGAACTGGATACATAACGCAGTTAAAGGTCAAAGCTGGCCAGGTGAGAGAGAGAGAGGTGTGTGCCGCCTGCCACCCCAAGTCAGGGCGAGGCCTAGCGGAAGTAGTTGGGACATTCATGGGCAACCAGGTGCCAGGCTTGATCAAAGGCCTGCACGACGGCCGGCTCCAGGGGCCCCTCCTCAGTGGCCGCCAAGTTCTGCTCCAGCTGCTCCAGGCTGGACATGCCCAGGATGACCGCGTCCCCCGGGGCTCCCTGCAGGGGCAGACGGCCAGACGTCAACGCTCTTCTGCAGCATGGTGACCCCAGTCACACTCCCCCTCCAGCCCCACCCCAGCCAAGCCTTGGGATCTGATTTTTATTTACACCCTACACAGTTCTGGAAAGAACTTTAGGTGCCTTCAACAGTGGTAACTGTGTGACTCCAAACCCTGTCTTTCCTCCCGCTGTCACACGGCTCACCCTCAGACAGACCTAAGTTCAGAGCCCAGTTCTGCCGCTAGCAGCTGGGTAAACTTGGTTCCGCTATTTAAACCCCCTGGGAGTCAATCTGCTTCTCAGTTCTCAGCGTGGTTATGGGAATGAGAAATTATGGAAAGTTCTTAGCTCCCATTTATTGAAAACCTACTTTATCTATGTGCCAGACACTATGCAACTGTGTAAGGCTAAAGCTGGAGAAATATCAGCCGGGAAGACGCGGGGCACCAGAGAGGGGAACTCCAGCTCCCACCAGACGAGTGGGCTGCAGTCAAATCTGTGACACATTTCTACCCCTTTCACAGCTGTGTGAACTCCAGTTTTCCCATCAGTAAAACTGGAATAATCACACTTCATCAGGCCAACATGATCACTCAATCCATGTTTGTAAAGCCCTCTTTACAGGGCTGGCACTTGGACAGCTACTAAGAACAACAGGAAGACATCTCAGAGGTAAAAACTATTTAGAAATCACCTTGAGGGAACTCCAGCTCCCCTAAAAGGGCAGAAGCAGAGCCTCTGGGGATGGCTGGGTTACCTGCAGCTGGGAGTGGTGGTACATCCACCGGAGGGCGGCCGACGTCATGCTGGGGGCGCTTGGCCCATAAGCAGCCCCCAGGGCCTTCTCCACCAGGTCGATGGCCTCGAAGTAGTGCTCCTTCCAGAACCTGGGCAGGTGTAGGGGGGTGACACGGGTCAATACCATGGAGTCACACTGGGGACCATAGTCCAAGAGCCAAGCAGGGCAGCTGTGCCCAGCGCTACCCCGCAGCATGGAAGGGCTGTGGGTCTCCTGCATTACTGGGCAGCAGAGCCACTCAGGATGCTGGCTCCGTCACCAGAGACCACAACATCTTTACTCCTGAGAACCCAAAGCCTGTCCTCACTTGACCTAGAGAAACAGGCAACTAGTAAAGGGGCACAATTCGGCCCCAGGCTTCCTAAGCCTCCATCCAAGGCCCTCTCCTTCCCTCTTGGCAGGTGGTGAGCATTTCTCAGGGAAGAGCTATGACTTGGAAGACCCGGCATAAGGTCCAGGGATTTGTCACGGAGATCACAAGAAAACAAGAAACCCTATGGGGCGTTCTGTAATACCTCCAGGAATCGAGACGTAGGTCCAGGCAGCAAAGGAAGGCCTGGAGCCCCCAGGAAAGCAGCCTAGAACTTCTCCATTTCAGATAGAGGGGACCCCCTCCCCACCCCCCACCTTGATGCAGCCCATCCACAGCTCACCGATTCCTGTAGACCTCAGCCCAGCTGTTCCCAAAGAAGCGGCCCGCAGGCTGTTTCCTGTCCTTGTCCTCGTACTTGTACTTGCCGGTCAGCAGGCCCCCTGCGGGAAGGCTGTCATCAGATCCCCTGCCCGCACTGCTCCCGGAGGCTGCTCTGGACCAGAAGTGGGGCCAGCTGGGTACCCAGGAGGGATGGAGGACCCAGCCCAGCTTCTTGTCAAACCCCTCCCTGCTTCCCAGGTCCCAAGTCTGTCCCGTACCAGCCAAAGGGTTGTAGGCGTAGAACCTCAGTCCAAAGTGCCTGAGGCAGGGGAAGAGCTCTGTTTCCACCTGCCGGGTGGTGGCGTTGTACATGCCCTGCAGGCAGAAGGGGCCAGCTGGAGAGGGTGCACAGGTCAGGGGACCTCAGCTCTCTTTAAAAACCTTCAGTCAAAACCTGTCCATGACTTCAGCAGTAATTTCCAAAATCACTAGTGGTGGAAGGGGATGAGGAGATGGTGCTGGCCCCTACGAAGGGACACTGAATGGGGTATGTCCTTCCGTAAATACCTGTAGGCACCAACCGTGGGCTGGACACTGAGTTCCCAAACATAAGTGGATCTAGTAAGGTCTCTGCTTCCAAGAGATGTTAGAGTTGAGTTAAAAACAGACAGAAGACAGGTGATCACATAGAGGTGGGCTCTGATATCATTAAGGATGTTCACAAATACTCGCTCAATATATGAAGATGAGCTCTGGAGACTGGAGGCCCCACTGGGCTGTCAGGAAAGGCTTCCAGAGGCAGAGGCCTCTAAGTGAGACCTGGGCAGTCTGCAGGGAGAAGGTGGGAGAGTGTTCCAGGCTGACGTGCACAGGGAGAAACAGGAAGGGATGGAAGCACACAGCAGGCAGGAAGAGGAGCCAGGGCAGAGAGCAGGTGCCTGGTGGCAGGGCTAAGGGCACCTGGGAGCCATCCGCAGCTGTAAGCAGGGGAGTGGCTGCTATGGAGAGGGCACGGGGACAGTAGGAGGGGCTGGGAGGACCCAAGATCAACAGGCACCCTGGGGACAGAGGCCTCTGCAGCCCTGGCCTCACCTGGTACACAGTGGGCAGGATCCAGCCGTTGCTCCTGCACAGGGTACAGATCTCAGCCACCTCCCAGGCGGCATAGTTGGAGAGGCCAAGCTCCACAAACTTGCCCTGCAGGGGAGAGGCCAAGGTCAGAACCCATCACAGCCTGGGACGCTAGGAAGGGGAGACTGGGCTGGGGACGCTGGGAGTCGGGTCTCTCCCCAGCTCTGCTCTGGGACAGCCCTGCAGCCTCTACTCTCCTGGGTAATGACAGGTCAAAGAGAGGAGCAGCGGGGCCACCCTCACCTCCTGGTGCAGCTGGTGGCAGGCCTGCAGTGTCTCTTCCACAGGGGTGTCATGGTCAGGTGCATGTAGATAGAAGAGGTCGACCTGGGGGCACTGCAGCCGCTTCAGTGATGTCTCCAGCTGGGACCGGAGACTGTCAGGCTTCAGGGACCTCCCTTCCCAGGGATTGGCCTTGGTAGCGATTTTCACTTTGCAGGAAGAACATAAAGGTTAAGAAACTTTACCACTTACTAGCCAAGTGACCCGGGCTCAGTTACTTCAGTTCTCTGAGGTTCAATTCTCTAATCTATAAAATGGGGATGGTAACAATGGAACTGTCCTCATAGGGAGATCGTGAGGATCAAACAAGGTCTCACGTGTGAGTTCTCAGTGTTCCCTGCTGTTGTATTATTAGTCGCAACTGCTGGCTGTGCAAAGTCTTATACTAGGGGCCAAGTACACAGAGATGAACTAAAAACCCTGGTGATCTCTGCCTTCAAGGAGCTCAAAGCCTAGACAGTGACGGTACAATATGTAAGTGGGGTAGAACCCAGAGGACAGGTGTGTGGTCAACCTGGGAATTCCAGGGAGGGCTTCCTGACCCCGGAGCTGAGTCTCCAAAAAGAGTTACAGCCAACAAGGAAGGGTGGGAACTCGGGCAGAGTCACAGAGACAAGAAAGCACAGTATGTGAAGGGTCATCTGCAATTCTGAGTTCTAAAAGTACAAACTCCAGGCAGGGAGCAACGGGACATGAGACAAGAGAAGGGGGCACAGACCTAAATCCCAAAGGGTTTTCTCAAATACCATCAAAGATTTTATGACTGAACCGGTCAGCTGTCTCACTCTGGCTGTGGTACAGAGAGAGAAGTCAAGGGGACAGGCCTGCAGACAGGGGGACAAGTAAAGAGGCTGGTGCAAGAACTCAGGAGAGAGAGCCAGCTGCTAAGCCTAGCCCCTGGCAGATCAATTTGAGAGAGAGGTAGAAGGTAAAATGAGCAGAGGGCAATTACAGTTTCCCCCTCCCCTTCCAGACTCCTGGGAGCATGCACGTCTTCACATCCACTGTAGAGACACTCCCCATGAGAACGAGACAGTGTTCTGTGCTGCAAGCAGCTTGGAAGTGCTATGAAGAACTCTGGCTCTCTGGATTCTGTACTTTCCATACTTGGCAAAGGCAACTCAGTAGTTCACAAGGGAGGGAGTCATCAGACCACTTGGATATTAGAGAACAAGTCCAGATTTTCTCCATTCCTTACATTTCTCAATCCCCCTGCATTCTTGGTGTGAACTTTCCCTCGGCTCCGGCCTGAGGACTTTGACCCAGTGAGTGCCTGGCCTCAAAGAAGGAAGCAGGGAAGGGCTGGAGGGGAAAAACTCAGAAACAAAATCTTCACTAGCAACGAGAGGCAGCCAGGTGAACTAGAAAGTGTGGGTCTGAGATGCACATTTCCAGTCTGTTCCTCCAGATCCACCAGGCTCTGAATCTAAGGAGGACCTAGAGGGGACCGCCCACAAGCGGCCCACACCTGGGAAGGAAGAGCCTCAGGATGGAAAAAAGGAATCAGAGTGTGGTAGTGATAATAACAGCTGACACTTGTTGAGTCCCATCCTGTGCCAGGCACTTCCAGTGGCATCAGGCTGATGAGGGACCATCCCTACACCCACACACATCCTCTACTGAAGCCACACCTGCCTCCTGGCCATCCTTCCACACACTGGGCACTTTGCATTTCCAAGCCCCGTCTTGGCACAGCTATGCCCTCAGCCTCTCATGCCCCTTCCTCTCATTCTCTGCACAGCAAACCACTATTGGTCCCTTAAGGCCCAGCTCCAGTGTTCTCTGAGCCTTCCCTAGTGCCTCTCCCTGTTCCGGTCATGCCCTCTTCCGGGCTCCCCTGCAATCACTTGCTTTCATCTTCCCCACTAGACTCTGAGCTCCCTGGGGACAGGATAGCATCGCTTTCCCTTCTACAGCCACAGGAAAAGCCTAGCACTACAGGAATAGACAGAAAGGCATTACCCAGCCCTTACACCTTCCTCCTCACTCTACCACCCCTGCTCCCTCAGACCAGCCAATGATAAGGCTACAGCTTTCCCTAAGAAAGTCAGGGATACTGCCAACTGAACAGAGTAAAGTCTAGGGACTGACGAAAGACCAGGATGAGAAAAAGGCGCTGGGGGAGCTCAAGGGCAGTGAGGACAATAGGCAGAAGGGCGTAGGAAGAACGCCTGGGAACCGGTTATGGGCACCTGGCAACCGATTATGGGCACCTGGCAGGGTTGGAACAGGGTACGGCATAGCTCTGGAGGCCAGGGCGGCAGCGGTGCACTAAAAAAGCAATGGTGGTAGAAACGAAGTACTAGATCTGGCTTAGGGTAACATTTGGGGGTTACCGAGTTGTAAACCCCAGAGGAAGAAGTGGAGGGGAAAGTGGTCAGGACAAAGCACTGTTGAGCTGACCAGGGTAAGATGTGCTTGGGGCTTGAGGAGCAGAGGGAATCAGAGTTGCGGGGTGACTAAGGGGAGGTCAAAGCCCCGGGAAAGGGACTAAGCTGTCTGTCCTGAGAGAGGCTGGTGCACGGCTGGGGTCAGGTCAGCGTCCCGTGGGACTGTCTGGCTTCACCGTGCAGGGGTAGGCCTGGAGGCCAGGGCGCGGGCGCCAGGAGTTACCTCTGCAGTCGCCGCCGCCGAGACAGAGCCCCAGGCCACCCAGGATGCTCTCGGACTGGCCGTCGCTGTACATGAAGGCCGTATCCAGCTCAGTATGGCCGCGTTCCAGGAAGGATCGCACGGCTGCGGCGCTGGTGGGCGCGTCCATGCGGCGCCCCCATCTCCATGGTGCCCAGCACGGTGGCGGGCCGGGCCGGAGAACCCGAGGAGGCCCGCGGCGGTCGGGACATAGCGGCG